ATACTATGCGCAAATTTAATTAGCTTAATTGAAATGTTTGGCTTCCGACAGTTGCGCGTCAAACAAACTTCCAAAACTCGCGAAGCTCGCCTAATAATGCAATTAGTACAATGCTGACACAAAACGAGAGAGGGTGACAAGTCTCATGCTAAATTAATTAATTAATTTGTCAGCTCAAAGCTTTTTTTATAATTACAGCGCCTTCATGAAACATGGAAAAAGGAAAAAGTTAAAATGTGGACCTACCTACGTTTCGTGTAATTGTCAAAGCAAACTTTTTTCGCTTTTTTAAACATTACGCACAAACTCAGCTTCAAATAAAAATTTTTGTTATTTGGTTTTGTGATATGAATTAAACGCAGTGCATATTAACATGAAATAAACATTAGATGCATTATACTTTTGAGTTGCATATTATGTTTGTTAAAAATTTTCAGTATCCAGTAATCGCAAGCTCCAGCCCGTTACTAAAACCCGTGACTAAAGTAGTTTAGTCACGGCTTTGGTTGTCCGTGTTTAAAGTAGCACTTTTTGTGTCTTGAAACCGTGGAAAAACTGACTATTTAAAGGTGGAAGTATAAAAATAAACATTAATCGTAGAGAAAGGCAAAATTTTACATTTTTGCATTTTTGAACATCTGCGACTGAAAAATGCAATTTTTACTATTTGTGAAAGGATATACTTGGAAATATTTATTTAATATATGTGTATATAATATAAATTGTAGATGTTTACTTTTATAATTTATTTTGGTGTTATCTATCCCGCTAAACTTCGAAAGCCTTCGATGTAAGGTGTAAGTAATTGCCATTTTAGTTCTGCGAAGTCCCGCAAATACCTTCAGGAAATGCACACCCTGCGAAAGCAAATAGAACCAAGTTGGTGCAAAGCTAGTCGGATTCTTGGAAGAAGAAAGCTCTTGGATTCCGAAAACTTACTCTGACCTACTTATTTGTACAATTTTCAATTACAGCAGGAGATAAAATTTACTACAAAGATTTATACGAAAACTACACACGCACAAAAATATTCTTACAAACATTTCATCTAAGGCTTTATAATATATTCATGTTTTCTAATATTTTAAAAGTTTTACAGTTCTAAAGTTATGTTATCGATAAAGTGAGATAGTATAAAGGTAAGTATGCTATTCTACAATATAAATTGATTGCAAGTGCATTGATCTATGCAATATCTAAGCGCATTGCAACAATGTTTCGTTATTTTAAGACCGCTGACATAGTTTTACCATTTGTTAAGCTGTAAAAGTCCATTTACTACCGGCAAAGTAAAGCATTAAATACTTTTTACATGCCTGTAGAGAAAATGTAGCATTTTGTGACCTTAAGGCAGGTAATAAAAATTTAAAAAATAAAAAATAAATTGTCAGTGACTTGCTGCATCTCGTGACTAAAGCCCGTGACTAAAGCCCGTAACTAAAGTATTAAAGTACCACTTTTTGTGTCTCAAAACTGAAAAAAACTGTAAAAAATATATTTGTGTAAATATTGGGGTAATTTAATACATTTTGTCAAAATTAATTTGATGAGACATATTATTGATTGATATTAATTCATTACGCAAATTGTGTAAGCCCTTCTGATAATGCTATTATATAACCATCAACATTTGTATTCGAAGGAATTAGTTTCCATGATTGGCATTACAATGTTATTGGTTTGACAACTTGCATCCCATCTAATAATCTCCAATTTCCAGTTCTTCACTTAATAAATTTACTAAAATTACTTAAACACAACTATATTTTAAGTAAAGTCCTCTGAAACCCCAAATAACTTTACTTTGCTTAGCAAAACCTCTACGAAAGTTTAAAGGTCAATTTATATTTTAACTCACCTCATATATTCAAACTTACACGCACTAACTTTCAGTTAGTTCCATTAGAAGCCGGTTTACCTGCTTCCTGCTTCTCGTGCCTTGATTAAAACTAACGCGCGCGTTGCTGAACAAACATTACCCTCTTGCCAGCGAATACTGCGTGTGCACGAGTTATTAAAACGCATCAGAGCTCGCATTAAATTTGCGCAAACCGGCGATTACATAATTCACCAATGTGTTGAACTCTCCCTTACATTCCTCACCAAAGGCTAGAGAGGTTAGTGTAAACGGTGGTCATCTCATCACGTGCGTCTTAAATATTTAATCATTGCTATTGCTTGCAGTTTACGCAGTGCAGTGCGCTTTAGAATCCATACAGGGAAAAAATGCAATCGTATTTCAACGGATGACGGAAATTGCCCGGGAGTGCTTTTAAGCGGAAACCTAACGCGCGCCATAAACAACTCGTTTTAGTTTCCAGCGTTTTTGCGTCGTCTCGGCCACCGCCACTCAGCTCGAAAAACATCCCCAAACATTCCCCAAGTTGCGTTGCACTTATTTTCCTCTCCGCAATGTTTATATTTTATGTGGTGAGTGCGCTCAGAGTTGATATTACTCGGGGAGTCAACTAGAACTGTAAAAATGTAAAATTACTTTAATTTAGAAAAAAATTCTAAGCTTTATTTCCTTGTGGATTTACAGTAGCATTGCACAAATTACATGATGAAGGTTAGACAAATGTAGATCAGACGTGGACTACTGCGCATGCGCAAGCTCCACCCGTGACTAAACCCCGTGACTAAAGTACTTTACTCACTTTTTGTATCTCACAACAGAAAAAACATTTTGTTTTATTAGCAATGAAATATTTATACGTGTTAACATTAACAAGCTATAATCCTATTCGAATGAATGCAAAAAAAACCTGTGCACATGTTTTTAACTAAAGCTTAGAATGATGAAACCCGAGCATTATTCAAAGTTGTTCACTGTAATGAATAATGTATTTTGGCAAATGAGCGTAAACAAAATTTTCTTGCAGCATTGTACGCAAGTTTAGTCAAACATTTACTTCGCTGTGCGCTGGAAAACTTGCCTATTAAATTTGTTTATGTACATAATAATGTTAAAAGATGCAGATAGGATTAAAATCATTTGTTGGCAAACGCATAAAACATTGTAGTCATACACAAAAAAACGGTTGTGACAGCTTAATAAAAGTACGCTTTCATTAAAAATAAAAAAAAAGACTCATTTTAAAGAAGAACCCTTGACGTGGTGGGTGGTGGGCTTTTAATAGGCGGCACTCGCCTGTATTTTAATGAACGTCCGTCCGGGATTTTATTTTTAATGAATTCACTTCCTAAAACCTTTATTTAAATGCCGTGGTAATGTCGTTTGTAATTTTTTTCACGCGTTTGGAGGAAGAAAATGTCGGCTGCGTAGACGTGATATATTGAAAAGCAATAACGTGATAAGCGCTTTTGGCGCACTTCAATTTAGCCGGAAGATTGTTATTGCCTCGCAACTCACATTTTCCTCTTCAAGCGTGAAACTCTGAGGCAATCATGCAGCTTTATTTCATTGAAGCGATTTGCTAAAAATAAATTTAATTTTTGAAAAAAAATTGAAACAAAAAGCAAGTTGAATGAATTGCGATTGTGGCCGAACGCATATGGTTCAGGCATGTAGATGTGGGTCGTGGTCGCGCAAACGAAGGCGTTAATTATTTACGTTTTCCTGTTGTCGCCAGTGTGCACCCGCTGGTTTCGACATACACGCACCCATATACACCGATTGCAAATGAAAGCGGAGTGAAATCAGCACGCTGGCTGCGGAACACGCACCGATTCCAAAAGCGCTGCTTTCGTGAAAAGCACTAATTAAAATGTCACTCTGATCGCTGTCACGTTTGATTCCAACAAGATAAATCGTATTGCTACATGTAGAAAACATTAAATTAGATTTTTTTCACAAAATATCGCTTAATTTAAACAAAATTTCAAAGAAAGAGAAAAAATTTATTTTTTTATTTTAATATAAATTTTGATGCAACCAAACTCACATTAAGTTAGAATTTTATTTATTGCTTTATTATAATATATATTGTGCTTTTTTCTGCGGCCATTTATGAACCTGCGGCAATTCGTTACGTTTGAATTGAAGTGAAATAAATCAACATGCGCAATTTGTGAGTGTTCCAATTCAGGAAGTCGGGAGCATTGCACTCGTTGTCGATGCTCGCCAGCAATACGTTTACGCAAACGTTAACAAATATTTACGTTTCGAGCATAAATCTCATTAAAAGTAGGTTTGTATAACGGCCTAACTCACATTAATATGAATCATTTAATAAATTCATAAATTTCAGCAATTCCATGCTTAACCAATAAAGTAAAAATTTGCGCATGCGCAGTTACACTCTGGGCGGAGCTAAACAACTACTTTAAACACAAATACTGCTATTTTCTGCATATCAACGTTTATTTATGTGTTATTTTACTTGAATTCGAGAGCATGGAATATTTATACAAAAGCGCACACGTTCCGATTGTGTATTATGTCACGAGTCGAGAATGCCACGCGATGTTTCCAGCTTTTCACGTCTCGACTGTTTCCAGCCAATATAAAGCAAACATGGCGCGCTCGCGAGGATACCGTTTCACGGATGCGCGCCTTCATCGTCATCGTCGTCGTCGCCGGTTTGCCAAATTGACGAATATAGCGCGTCATGTTTCCCGATCATAAATCCTTCCCCATGTGTCATCCGATTTATATCCGACGGGGAGTGCGCTTAGGGCAAGAAATTGGACGCGTGATGCGCACGTCCTGACTTGTAAGGAAGAAGCATCATTGGAAAAACTCAATGACATACAAAATTTGCTCACGTATACAAAGACTTCGTAACATGTCATCAGAAAAACTTTAAAGGTACAACACATAAAGCTAGGGAAAGACAAACGTAAAATATTTTAAACACCCTGTATTAGAAGAGTATTATGTATAGTTAAGATAGATGGATGACAGTCACACTCGGTGCATTGTCATTATAAATCGATTAATTTTAAATGTCAAAAGCGGAATTTAAATTTTTAAAATTTTATTTTTTAAATTTTTTTATTTCTGAAATGATTGTAAAAATAAACACAGACACATTGCATTTCAGGTTATATCATTTATTGATATATTTTGTACATTACTTTTTGCCACTTTGTACACATTTACATTTCCTTTGGCTGTTCCTTTCTTCCTTTGTATTACATTTTCATTTCAACATTCATTGAGTATAAATATAATATGCATACGCTTTCATAAACTTAGCACAATATAGTTCAATCAAGTTTCAACGAAATATTCGAGTACAAATATTGTTAACCAGACTTGTTGACTCTTAATAATAATTAAAAATTAATAAACAATCATTTACACATTGTGATTACTTCATTACTTATAAAAACAAAAATTGACTTTGGTTATGATAAGTTTCCTTTGCAGTTGATTAACGTATTGTTTTATATTTGGCTAGATCAACAAAAGGATCACGGCTGTTGTCCTTTAATTGAATATCAACACGCGATGCGTGCGGATCTTTCTCCTGCGGGATCATTTGCATAATTTGCCGCAGCGCCTTCTGACGATTCTCTTCCTGGGAATACTCACGGATTGTTTGTATCTCGGGATGCTCGCTGAGCGTGTCCGTCAAGGACGCTATCAATACATCTGCGAATCAAATTAAATCATGCAGACGAAATATTTGGTTATGTATATTGGGTTGCATACCAAGCACTTTCTTTTCTAGTGTTCGAGAGATATGACCTTGTTCAGCTTCAGTTTCTAAGAATTTCGTGAATTTTTGTAGAGCTTGCTGTGCTTCTGCACTACCTCTGGTCAATCCTTGAGTGAACATTACTTTCGCAAGTTGATAGATGATTTCTTCCAGGGAGTATTCGGTATATAAAAAGTCAGCAACCCGTAGACGTTCCATGAGTTCATCATTGTCCACTGAGTCTGAGTTGTCTGATTTTTGCATATCTGATTCTGGAAATTCACACATAAAACAACAAATAAAGCCTGTTCAGGTGGACTTGCAGTTTAAAAAGCTGTATTAAATTGTGGCCGGGTAGATTATGACTACAAAGGTAACAGGATTACTAACTTGGACGATAATAACCCGGGCTAAAAGCTTGTTAACTTCCGGCGCGTTTCGGGTTATTAACATGGGACATTTGTGGTTTGTTTGAGAGAACATCAAAACACTGTTTTAATCTAAATACGCTTTACAGATGTGTAAACATTTTTTGTACAACTTACCAGTTGTGTCAAACGCTGGCGTGCTTTTTTTCATCGCTTGAAGTCTAAACTTTGTCAAATCATAGTTGGTTTTTAAAGAAGGTTTTGATACGTCTTGTGATGTGTCCAACTGTTGCAGTTCCTGTAATTGTTTAATAGATCCTCTTGCTTTCGATAACTCTTGAGCTATGTATTCAGCATTAGTCTACAAAACACTTAATAAAAATAAATATTTGTGATATTTTTAAAAATAACCTTTGACCGATCGCTGTTTCCATTAAACCAAAACTGGTTATTATAATGAATTTGCAAATATTCTAAATTATATTTGATTTCTTGTAGATAACTAATAGCCTCTTCACGTGTCATCTACATAAAATTAAAATTTATTATTTTTTAATTTTTGATTTTTTTAAAATAAAGCATACAATTCCTGCTTGAAGAAATTCTTCAATAGATGACGTAACACCTTTCTCATCACCAGTCCAAAAAACATACTGAGCCATATCCAATGGTGTATACTGAATCCCGCCGATTTTATCCTGATTTAAATACAAAGGATTGTTGCAGGTGAAGCGAAGAATGAATTACGATCTGTTTAACTTACCGTGGCTAAGACGTCTTCCTCCTGCTCGCTGCTTGTAGATCCACCACGCTTTACGTTCAGCTGCTGTTGTTCCTGATGCGGCCGGATGTCGGGCAGCAGCCGTTGCACGGTTGACTTGTGGATGTTCTTTTCGGGCACGTCGACATCGATGCGCAGACTTCCGCTTGCCGGAGCATCAGCGCTCGGTTGCTCTTTATCGACATGTTCGACAACGCCAGCAACCAGTCGCCCGTCTTGTTTTACTAATAATGCAATAAAACATTGTTTATTTCCGTTTTGTAGCTCTGCAAATATTACCAACCCTCTGATTTTGTATCCACATGACTTTCGGCGTGTCCGTTTATATTTGTATAGATACCAGATTGACTTTTCATCATTTCCAATGTTTTACCTAAAGTATTCTTAGTTTATTAAAGTTTAAATTGATAGTTTTATTGATTGTTACCGATTGTCTGCTTCAAACTCTCTAATTCACGCACATTTGCATCCTGTAACAAAATATTTGTTTGGGTTTTAGGTGCGGGGCAAAGAAAAGTTTACTAATTACGAATTCGTCGGAGCTGTTTCTATTCTTAAATTCTGTGCTGTTTGGCGAGAAAGCAGCGCTGTAACATTTATTCTTCGTTAAAGCTTCGTATCCGCGAGCGCTTAACAGTTTAGTCTCCGGGAATTCGTTCAATGCTCTCGGAGTTCGATTGATTTAGTCGGAAACACTCTCGATCTACTCACGACGAAATAATTTTTAAATTATTTTCTTAAAAAAACTTGAATTTAATTTTTTTACAATTTTCCCGGGTTTTCATAGTTTTGTAGTATTTTTTTCTCCTGTTGAGAAGATATAAAGTCTAAAAATTGATTTTCACGTCAATAAAATACGATTTTTAGCTTTTTAACGCACGAATGCTTAAATCTAACAAATCCTATTCAATCGGCTTTACTTTTTTTTTAAAAACACTAAAACTAAACAAAATATTATATAATTTTATAAACAAACACCATAAAACCCGTGCGTAATAAAAATCAATAAAACCAATTCGTATGCATCCCATCACGAGCATAGTTAAATCTGAGCGCTCCGAAACGTCTTCTTTCATTTGCCGATCGAAGGGTGATTGTGATCGTTCCGATCGTTTTACAGCTCATCGCCGAGCACGCGCTGGAATAAAATTCCCGTAGAGGACATGCGTGATGTCCTTCCCAAATCGATATGTATCTCGCGTTTGATGATACATAGAAATCAAGATGATGTTGGTATGTAAAAATAGCAAGACGGTGCGAATGTATGCGGACATGTGAAGAATATGCCATGGCAACGCTGATGGGGAGCGGGTTGTGCGTGGGTGGAGAATTGAGAACGCAATGGGGAGGTTTCCAAGCGATTAGTATGCATTGTGGCACCTTACCAGTGTCTCCGGGACGACCTCCGGGGAACCTGGAAATAATAAAAGTAGGTTAGTACTTTGGGCCCAGCACGCCAACGGTGTCAATAAAACGTCTGATCGTGTTTGATCAAAAAAATATAAAAAACAAAACGAAATTTTAAATTATTTTCTTTACAAAATATTAACTGACTTGTTTTCAGTTAAACCTAGTCGTAAATAAAGTCGTAAAACATTTTGTTTGCTTGTAATGTGTTTTGTTGGTTGATTTTGCTAAATTTGCACTTAATTACAGCAAAAAGCTGTGCTAGCTTAATGCAGTGTTTAATGCTTAATGCTTCGTCAGTTCATCGATTATTGCGGGCATTTAGTAAAGCAATGGACCATCAAACGTTGAGTGCTTCCAAGTATTCAACTGCAAATCAATAAATACACTTTGCAAGTTAATTGTTTTTATTTCTAGGTGTTTACCGATTATATATTTTTGTTTTTTGTTTATATCAACGTTTAGATGGATTGCACTTGCAATTTGAACATTTTCCAATAAATTGCGTTTACTTGGGCAGACAGCAAACAAGCTGCGCCTTTTGTGCGCGCGAAAAACGCATTCGAACGTTTGTCAATATGTCTGCCAACAATGAAACGTACGAGGTGCAATCGCGATGTTCCCATTGTGCGAAGGTAATTGCGCTTTCAAGAAATAAAATCCCACCGCATTGCGTGGTTATAATGCGAAAAGTGTCAACAGTCAAACAAATAAATGAATTTAATAAAAATGTTATAAATTTTAGCAAAGATTTAATTGACTAAAATGTTTTTTTATTATTTTTATTGCCGAAATGTTGTTTTGCATACACATTGATTTTTTGAGAGGTAAAAACAGCAAACGCAGCTTCTTTTTTTCACGCCAGTTTGGATTCGTCTATATGCCAATTCGGCGTTATCAAACTTTGGCCATAAAACTAGCACATAGATTGGAAAGCGCTGAAAAAGGTTCTGTCTCTGATTTTGGACATTTTACATTTTATGATCGGTTAAAAATGTTCACTTCCGAAAAAAACTTTTGTGGTATATAAAGTTTGAAATTGAAAAATTGAAAAACAAGTTTTGCACAGTTAAAATCAAAAAATCATAAAATCAAACAAATCCAGTGTTAAATTCAATTAAAAACAATTGTATTTATCCACTCCATATCTTTTTGAATCTAAATTAAAACATTTCAGCGCTAAAATGCTGAAAACTAATCAAAATTTAATACAAATTTAATAAAATATATTAAATAAAGTGATTTGCTGGTACATTCAGTAGAAATGTCTATAATATGTGGTCCTTTGCGGAATGCCAACTAAGTGGAAAACCAACTAAGACTAGCCCCCAATTAACCCTCGTCGGTGGTCTGAAGGTCTGGACGCGCTGCGCTGCTTGCCAAAACGTTAACGAGTTGCAAGTTGCTCACTTGACTTCGCCTGGTGCGCTCCGCCGCTTCGTTATACTCGTAGAAAGCAAAACGTAGTAACGCTGCCGGACGTGTTAACTTTGTACGCATTATAACGAGAGATCGTCCACCTAGGCGCTAGCGCGCATTCACCAAATGCTAACCAAACATAAATTTATAATCATCTCAGACTCCATACAACTAACAACTAACCAATATTCTGCTTTGATGATGATAATAATGTCTGATTTGTAAACAAAAGATTTGGATGTGAGCAGACGAACAAACTGTTTGAGTTTTCAGCAAGTCATAAAGCTACGCAGCTGGTATTATGAAATTTAATAAAACGCCATCGTTGAGATTGCAGGATAATTTTTTTAATACACGCAGTTATACTTTCCATATACATAATATCATTTAAAGAAATATTATTTGGTTGTGTAAACATTTTGTAACATATTTTAAAGCAGAAATGTTGTGTGGTTGACCCATATCTTGCTGAATTCCGGCTTGCAGAAAGTCTCTAATAAACATTTAGATGTGCCGAAATACACAAAATATAAACTTTTTAATGGTACTCAGCGAGTCATTTTCTTTTGACTGCTTCATTCAAACTTTTAAACTTTCATTAAAAACTCAAAAAGAAAAAAAAATTGATTTCATAGTTTTTATACTCATTTAAAAAAAGAGTGTTTTTACATTATATCAGCAAATGTGTGCCACGTGCGCCACGCGTTTAATTCAAATGAAACTGCAGCGCGTGCATGCAAAGAACGCTATTCAATTAATTCTGGTGGAGGCGCCTGTAGTTTGCAATCGAACGTGATCTGCACATTGGATGACATCCACCTGATGTTTTATAAACGTGACCAATATACGAATAGGAAAAATTATATTGAATTTATTTACTAATTGTGAATGTTTATTATGTAAATATTTATTGCCACGTTTATTTCGAAGAGATAAATTCTACGGTGTTTCGAATGCATTGTGCAATAATTTTGTTGATGCCGCAACGCATTATACAAATGTATCGATGCGATATGTAAACGTCGACCGCATAAAGCAATGATTTATTATGGAATCGGGATGTGGGTAAACCGAAATTTAATGCTCCGGCAAGATCGAAGTGGGCGGTCAGCGCCAGGGATAATTTAATGGAAGGACTAACTTTATAATGTGCCTATCTGCAAACCGGTCTAGCGGTTAATGATCCTCATCGATAGCAATAGGAAATTGGTTTTGCATTTGAAATAAAGCAACTGTTTACTGTGCATTTTAACTTGTAAAGTTTCGATTGTAAAATAAAATGAATAAAAGTTTTCTTTTTCTTCCTGGCGGTGGCTGAGTTAGTTGGATCTTTGATTTCATGCGAAACGCGAATAGTTCAAAGGGGAGTAACTCAATATCGCCGGTTTGCCTCCGCGGCAGATAAGAAACGCCAAGAAACGAAGCCGTTCGGTTCTTGGAGCAACGAACCAGTTACGGAAACGCATGGCGCCCGCCCTGGCCCACATCGGTGTTGGTGGATTATTCGAGGCGGCGCTTTGAAGTTTGCTAAGAGTTGCCAAGAGTTGGCAAACCTTAAGATTGTGAATAAATGCGAAATAACGGATTCGCAAAACTCAAAGCTCGGCGAATTTAAAAGAATTTGCTGGGGGAAGGCAAAAATCGAACTAAATCGAACATGCAGACACAAAAATAAACTTTTTATAGTAAAAAATAGTGAAAAGCATTTAAAAAATAATTTTTATCAAAAATTACTGAAAAATTAAATATTTTTTACCCTAATAGTCATTAATTCCATTTATGCATCATACAAATCATTAATTAATGAATATCTAATTATTTTCACATTAATAATTCAAAGTTCAACTAATTACTCGCACATAATGCACAACAAATTACTATTTCCAAAGTTACAGTTACAACTAAACTGAATTTAACGCAAACCTACAACTCCAACTTCCAGTTGGTTTGTTCACTCATAGAAAATGACAACAAAATGCATATGCAAATGCAACAATTTGCATACCACACAAAACAAGACAGTGTAATTAACCACTTGGTTGATTCGCGAAATTTTGATCTCAAATTTGTACCAAACTGCAAACAAGATAAGTTTCAATCATATGCATACAGTCCACGAATAATTCAGTTTGAATTACGCTTAGTATTGAAACCTCATCCCGGCGGATATCACAATGAATGCATGAGTATGTATAGACGACTTTTGTGTAGTGTGGGGGCTGCGGCCCATGGGGAGTAGAACACTCCCGCCAACAAGTTCTCCAAGCCGAGGGGAGCACTTGTCACCACTTGAGCTGAGCTGGTGGTTGATCGTCTTCCCCGTCTTATATTGTATAACTTGAGCCGTCTTCGACCTCAACCATGGGTAAAGTCGGGATAATTATAACTTTACTTTGTCAATATATTAAATGCTCAAGGATTTATCTAAATTTAGCTTTGCTCACCGCACACAGGCGCGTGGGGCGGTTTGGAAGTAAACAGAAATCAGAAAATAACAGATTGCTTTAATTTTCGCCGGTGCGCGAAAATTTACTGCCATTGAAAGCAGTGTCATAAACTTTATTTCCGAGATTAATTAAAAACAGTATTTTTTCTCTTATTTTTCACAAAAAAACATAAAAAAATATTATTTGAAAATACAAAGTTTCCATGATTTAAGATAGAATTATATTTTGTGTACGAATATACTTGTTCAACTCAAATAAAATAAAAAATTACACAAAGAAAAGTTAAAAAACCGCAAAGCGCAAAAAAAAGTAGCAGTGAAGTTAAACCGTAAGCGAGCAACCAAACGAACATGTAACGACTATGAACGTGAGTCACACGCTTGTCGCACAAACGAATAATACGAAATACGACCGCTTTATACTCCGAAGAGAAATTCTTAAGTTGAGCATTGTATTGTAAATTTTCAGTACTTTGCGGCGATCGTTATTTCCTTGATTTCGCTTGTTTCGGTCGGCTTTTTTTTCTTTTTAAACGCTTTCTCGAGATTCATTGTGAAAGCCGCTTGAAGTCAGGACATTTTTCTGATTGCAGGATAATAGATAACAGATAGTTCTCACGTCTCGTTTAGAAAACACACTTAAAACAGAGCAAAGTTTAAAGAAAAGAATAAAAATATATGTTTCAATTTCATTCAACAATCCCGACTAATATTATAAATGCGAAAGTCCTGATGTTTGTTACACTTTCACGCAAAAACTACTTAACCGATCATCATGAAAATTTCTACACATATTCTTAGTGGTCCCCGAATGGTTATAGGCTACTTTTTATTTAATAAAAAAATTATTTTTTAAATAAAATAAAAAAATTGTTTAGCCAATAATACCTCTGCATCTGGCTATTTGACTACTTTAACGCCATCTAGCATTCCAGCAATGAAGCTCAAACCTAAGTACTATAGTACTATCACACCGTATTATCACACTGTATTACCGACAGCTACGTCAACATCAAATCCAATTGACTACACTATGGAGACCGTACACTATACTTCCATAGACTATACTTTCAGCCATTTTAAACTTCCCGCCATTCCACTTCATTGTTACTTCTTCTGTGACTACAGACGCGTACGG